TGCATCAAAGAATTCTTATGCGGAGCTTCATGTTGAGATCACGACCACAGAGTATATTCTTAAGGCAAACAAATGTTTATCTCGGTTCTTCGTTGTCACATTGTGCTTTTATTGAGTGATTCCAGCTATCATTCACTGCAGTTCCTAAATAAGTTATTCTACTTTTTCTCGCTAGTGGTACGCCATTTACATTAATACCTGGATCAGTCGGTGAGTTCTTGCTTGTACTTGGTATTGAGCTTCCGACAAACTTCTTTCACTTTATTGAAGAGTTCTTGTAACCTCTCAACAATGTCCGTTATAATCACAGTGTCATCTGCATACCGGGTGCTATGTACACAAACTCCATTAACATTAACCTCTTCATATCCTCTGAGTGAACAGTATGTTCCTATACAGTTTTTGGTGGCTATGGGTCAAATATATTTTAATGAACATGAATTGGACTAAACGAGAAATAAATCCGCGTATAGCTGGGAAGATGATCTTAATGTTAGATGATTTCCAGTCAGACATCATTCCTTAGGTCCCACGCCTACTGGTGTCGAAGTATTGACAAATGGAATATTGTTTTATGGATATTATATGCCATGTACAACACGAAAAACCATGTCACTTATTTCCGTGTCTGTCGGTCTGTCCGCTGGTCTTACAACCGCCTATAGCTTGAGCAGTACCCCTCGGATTTCGATTAAATTTTTACACAATGTCAAGGACGTAAAAGTGTTTGAAAATCGATCTAGTGGTGGCAGAGAAAACGGCCAAAAACGAAAAAGTGAGAACAATAACATGTAGAGCTAAAAAAACTTGGTGATCAATTCTTTGATGTCAATACATTTGTACGCTCCCAGCCTTGGTAATTCTACGGACCTATTAAACATATTTCACACATCATATATTTCTCGGTACATTAGCCCTTAAAACAGAAAAATACATTATAGCAAACGGATCTCGTACCTACCGACCGCGGTTGCTGCGACCGGCGACACGCTACCAGCCTAGGTGAGTTCTTTTGTTCTGATGTGGGGTTACACGCATTGTTCTGACTGCGCTACCACGTCTGACAGGGTAAGGCGAAGGTGCCAGATGCACTACCACTATCTGTGGACCTGTGTGACCTGTTCTCAGAGGGTCAAGTTTGTGCTGAAGATGTTCCTTTATGACGTAATAATGACGTTGCGCTGGAAGTGCTGAGTGAACCTACTTGACGCCATTTAAATATTCAAATGTAGCACATTTGTGCCACTTCATGCTTCATATAGGTGACAATAAAAATAGCCTGGTTATTAATTTTATGATATCGTTAATTTTTATTCGTAATTATAGATTTTAATACCATTATTAATGTCCAATTATTTGGGTCGGTATTAACATGCTTTTCTGTTATAATTTTGAATATAAGGTGATTGCGATACCTATATTTGAATACCTTTCGATTGTACGCTGGGAAAGTGGAGTCCGGGGGTACTTTGCAAAAGAAAAAATTGTAAAGGAAGTAAGATAACCTTTATCTCTGTAGCTTTTAGAAACGATAAATAACATGAAGGTACTTATAAATAAATTTGAGCCTTCTTAGCAATACGACTAAACAAGATTATCAACTTTAAAAAATAAGGATTATAAAAATTTTGAGCTTTCTGCAAATGACTTCATATGATTCTAGACTTGACAGATAAGCAATATCAAAGGCAAATATTTGTTCTGGTGGACTATGAATTATGGACTGAGTGGAGTGTTTCGGCCATGGAGCCTATACAGGGTGTCCAAAATATGGATCATGTGCATGGAGCTCTCAATACCTATGAGAGATACAGCTTAGGTTGAATTAGAATAAAGCTGCACTCCTTGGGGTGTATTTACATACTATTCAAAAACTTATAAAAATTTAATTCGTTACTGAGATATTTGGGAAAAACTGTAATTTGGCCCAACAATTTTTATATTTTACTGACTTTATTTTAAGAAATATCAAAAAAAACTAATGAAACTTTTCTATTGGCACTAGGCACTACATGATGGCATATCTAAATTTTGGGCCCGACGGTTTGTTTTTGAAACACCATCATCAACTTTATTTTTTATATGGCCCGAAAACAAGAAACCCTGCATCTAACAGCATTTTCTCATACTAAATCAATGATGTATCACATGTTATAATTCTCATCTTTGCGTTTTCTTTAATTTTCTTATTTTTTTTTTTAGGCGCTGACTTGACGTAAATACCTGTCACCGAGGATAATTGATATTGCTTTATTACCTTCCATGATGCCAGGCGGTGACTTTAGCAACGACGAAAATTTCGTGCTACGTTTTGTGTTTCAAAAACACAAAATACTGCAGAAATGTATCTTGATAAATTTCTCGAAAGAAGGCAGCCAAGTAAGTCCATTTTCTTAGAGTTGGACAGAAATTTAAATGTCTGTTACGTTTCGAAAAAAGGAATCTTTAGAGCAGGGGTTCCCTAACTTATTTGAGACGCACCCCTTTCTGCTATAAAAAAATTCCGCGCCCCTCCATCCTCCAGTCCTGATTATCAGGTCAGAATAAAAAAGTATTTAATAATAAAATAAGTATTTTTATTGCTCATTAAAGTTATACAATAACCATACAAAAGGTATTTGGTAAGTAGTACCTACTTATTGGAATATGACGGATGAGCATGAATGGATTTAACGAGGTTTACAATTCTCGGCTTAACCATAGAAATCGTACAACGCAAATCACTACCAATGTCAAGCTCATTTCTGTACTTGGTTTTTATTGCGACTACAGCAGAAAATCCCCTTTCGCATAAATATGTACTTGAGAAGGGTAAATATAATTGAAGTGCTTTTTCTGCTATTTTGGGGTAAATTGAGAAATATTTGACCCAAAACAATGATTTACCCAATTTTTCAAAATTGTATTTGGCAGCAGAACAATTTTTAATGTCCAAGGCTTCCTCTCAAAGTGTTTCTGGCAGGGCATCTATCTAAGCCATCATCAAATGAATTGGGGAAGTAACGATTGAACTCATTAATAAGGCATCGTAAATGATTTGATATTTTTTTCTTAGTTTCAGCATCTTGAAAAACTTCCATAAAGCGCGTTTTTTCTGAAAGACTGTATAATTTGGGAAAACATACGTAATTTGATGGCTCTGCTAATACCTTGCGATCCCCAAGCTTTTCTTGTTTATGTCTAATAAGGTTCTTAACGTTCACCCAATCAGGAAACAATATGTTCCTGACAGGCATCAATCTCAGATAATTTATTTGCTTTTTAATCGAAAATGAATTTCCTTTATTGGTCGTATCGAGCAGTCTTGAATGCATCCTCTCAGCGGTCGCAGGGTTTTATACTTGACTACACAGGTGTACCGCGCCCCCTTTAAAGATTTGGGCGCCCCCCACTTTGAAAACCGCTACTTTAGAGGAAACTCAGAATAGTGTTTTACACGCAGTTGCTGAGAACTCTGAGATGCTAAGTAGACAAACTGAGGAAAATGTAGGAGTAGCCAAATCCACAACAATTTAGTTTGCGAAAAAGTAGGTATCACCCCAATAAATTCAGGATTTGCCAAGGACTTAGACCAGGGGATAGCAAACGGTGCCAGAATTTTTGTAAGTGGTAAACACAAACGTGTGAAGAAGATTTTAATTTCCTTTCAAAAATAATATAGTCCGACGAGAGTATGGTCACCAATAATGGTATCTATCTCTACTAAAAAAGTATCCAGACATCAAGAACGTTTTGGGTGTAATATATGGTGTGGAATTATAGAGACAAAAATATTCAGGTCCATCACAACGCATTAACTGCAGAAGGGTACCTTCAATTGTTGCACTATGATCTAGAAGACTGCCTGGATAATCTACCTTTGGTTGTTGGTTCGAACAAGACGGTGCTCCTGCACATAACTTTAAGCAAGTTATTTTTATTTTTCAGCGATTTCTCTGAAGGTGGATTGAAACCTCCAGTGAAGTGTCCTGGCTAGCGCGTTCCCCGGATTCAACTCCTCTGGAATTTTTTGTTTAGGGTTTTATTAAAAACCAAGTTTATCAGCATAATTTTGAGACTGATTAGCAGTTACGAGACTGTGCAACGGAAGCATTCATTATGATTACACCAAAAAAGTTACGTGATATTTTTAAATCTACAGTTAGAAGATCATATTTATGTTTAGAAAATAATGGCCGCCAATTTGTGAGTAAAATAAGAATAATGTTAAAATATCACTAGACTATGCATCATTTTATGAAATCTTAATCATACCATGTAATATGTAATATGCATCAACCAGTAATCACATAATCTCACATCAAGCATTTGTTTGCAACTCCTACTTAAAAAATAAGAAAATTAATAAAACACATTTCCTTTTATGAATTCGTGGAGAAATATGGTTCGGATATTTTTTTCTGGACCATGTATGAAAATAAAGTTAATGGTTTCTTAAAAATGAAATTTCGGGCACAAAATTTAAAAAAAAATCATGTAGTGCCTAAAAAGGCCCAATAAAAAAGTTGCATTAGTTTTTTAAATTTCTTAAAATAGTTTCAGAAGAAATAACGACGATGTGGCCAAATTCTAGTTTTTTCCAAATACCTCAGAAGCCATAAAATTTTTAAAAATTCTCAAGGCATGTGAATACGCCTCAAAGAACGGCTTACTAATTCAAACTAAGCTGTATCTTCCACAGGTATTGAGATCTCCATGCATAGGATCCTTATCTTGGGCACCCTGTATACCAGGGGAACAAGCGAAGTGCGACAAAAATGACCTCGACTTGTTGCCTGACTGAGGGAGTGATAAAAGCGAGTACCAGCTACCGCGCATGCGCAGGGTATCTGAGGTTATAGTACGTAATCGGGCCGCAAGAATTTCTAGGTATCTGTTTCTTTGATTTTTATGAATGATAAATATTAGTAGAACAGATTGCAGCAGCTTTGCCTGACAAAGGCAACCCTACTGTAATTCATTTTACTATTGTTTATAATTCATTATAAGCAAATTTATTAAAAAAACAGGAGGCACAAAAATCCCTCAGAATTGCTTCTGTTTTAAAAAAAGATTTCCAAATCACAGTTAGTCGCTTGTAGCGATTTCTGCTGAAACTAGGTTAGACATACACATTGGTTCATGCGTGACAAATGTCAAAAGAGGTTGACGTTAATATCTACGTCTGTAATATAATTAAAAATGATAAAAACTGGCTGGATTTAATGACGGGCTAATCAAATAACAAAAGGACAGTTACTGAAATGAGCATGTAAAATCTAAATATTTGAGCTATGCGTATTCCTGGTATCACTCAAACAGATGAGATACTCCACAACCCCAACATTTAACCATCACATGTTTCGTGGAGTAAAATAGAAAATAATGTAACTCCTGAAACAAAAAAATCACATATTATATAGAATGAAATTCTACGGAATAAATTCTAATTCTACATTCGTGGTTTCATTTAGTAGTAAGTAGAACACTGAGGTTGATTGCAGTATATGATGGTTTACTGTGGATATCAAAGAATGGAGCATCTATTATCAATTACTTAATACTGTAATTTTTTCGTCTATAAACAATCACCATAGTCGATTGTTGCCTTTTGTTGGAGTGCAATGGTTAAGGCAAGCTGCTATTAAACAATTGGTACAAACTAGTGTGTTCGAAGTGTCTATTTTAGAATATTGCTATTCTGTGAATAATCGAACAAATAGCGCCGAGTAAAATAAGCAAATTCCGAAGAGGAAATGTATTAAGTATGTTCACTTAATAGACGTATCATCTGAAACTATATAAAATTAAATAAAATCATATTTTTGGGTATTACGTCTATCTAGTGCGCAGAGAGCGGATGTTTCTTTATAACAGAATGTCTCGCACTGATACCAACGATGCAGCATTCATGACCTCCACCCTCCATAACCACCAAACCTCAATCTTCAATCCTTGCCATTTTTATTTTTATAGTTTTTAGCCCGTTACTCCATCGCCACTAAAACCTACAAAACTTTTTTGTCATTGGCATAATAGTACACTTGTGTCAAAATTTCAACATAATCCGAGCGGTACATCCCAACTTATAGAGGGGCCAATGATTAGCTGAAAGACAGACCGACATAGAGACTGGCAATTAGATCGACAGGCCGACCGACAGGTAGACAGACAGAGAGTTCGACAAGCAGACTGGCCAACGGAAATAAGTAAGCTGCTTTTTTGTGATGTAGCATCCAGAGAACATATGTTGTCTCACTTAAATGAACCATAACCACCAAACCTCAATTTTCAATCGTTACTATTTTTATTTTTATAGTTTTAAGCTTGTTGCTCCGTCGCCACTAAAAACTACAAAATCTTCTTGTCCTTAGCATAGCAGTATATATAGTATAATATAGTATAGTGGTATCCGAGGAGTACATCCCAACTTATAGAGGGGCCAATGATTAGCTGAAAGACAGACCGACAGTCAGACAGACCACCGGAAATGAGTGAGCTGTTTTTTGTGATGTAGCATCCAAAAAACATATATTGTCCCATTTTCAGATTTTTTCAATTATTGGCCTGGGAAGTAAACGGAAGTAAAATAGGGAATAGTCAAATGATCAACAATTTGTGTATTGTATACGTATATAAGTTCAATAATGTTTAGCTTATTTACAGTACCTACTTATACAAAGCTTGCCAACATTACAAGAAAAATGGGCGATGCCTTTTTAATGCACAACGTCCTTGAAAGCTTTTCCAAACATGTCAGCCCCTTTCTTGATTACTTCATTATAACCGGCTGATGATAAGGCTTCTTTTATCCTTCCGTACCATTGCCACAGATTGGGGTAGGCTTTTAAGTCGAAAGCACCACTCGCCTAAAAGAAAGTTGATATTATGGATAGAATTGGCAGTTATTTAGAAATCTTAATGTTTGGTTGAAATTTTGTTTTGATGTCCACAATCTAGCGAAAGCATACTTGTGGTATTGTTCGTCCGCTTTCCAGCAAGTCGTTGTTACGCAGTTATAAAAATGTCTGATGATGAATTAGTATTAATTGCTAGTGCATCATATACAGCGCTTTTCTTTAATGTCCCCCTCCCCTTTGATTTTTTGAACGGATTAATTCAAAAAATTAAAGCTTCCGGTAATGAAATTGATATGGGCGTGGATACCATATTTTAGAGTAAAACTGACAGATGAAAATGTCAAGATGGCCGCTGGGAGCCATTTTGGAAAAAAAATTATATTAAAACGGGGGTCTTGTGGCACATCATTTTGAACGAGTATTTTATAACCCTAGAATATAAAGTCAATATCTTTACCCACTACAAAATGGTGGTTCATTCAATAATTACTTGAAAACAAACCCACTAACATGCATCTCTATAAATAGTTGAAATTCCTTGCCGTATCCACAGCAACAGCGATATTAACTTGTATTGTTATTTTTTGTTGACAGTGTCAAGAATATCAGTACGAAAATAAACATCATTGTACAGTTAAAGTATTCTTATTTAGTTTTCGGTTTTAGTGCTAGATACTGTTTGAACTATTTTTAAAATGGTCAATTCTCGTCCATTGGAAGAAAAAATCGAAGCGACTTTTATTTATGGTGCGATGCGTAACTTTCACGAGACCGAAGGGATTTTTAATGACCGTTTCCCGAATCGTCCTACCTGTAGAAAATATTTAAGGGAACTTGTATCTAAATTTACAGCTACTGGTAGTGTATATGTTACTGCAAAAGCCCGAATTGTGGTAAATTCTAAGATTTTCTGGTAAAATCTAAGATTTACCAACTCTCAATGGTAAAAGTCCGGACGTTCTTTATTTCGAACTTTTACCGCCATTTAATTGGTAAATCTTAGGATCTACCATAATGACACGGTAAAAGTGGATAAAGACATGTCATAACGTGTTCAACAGCACTCCGTGTTGTAACAAATAATATTTTTCTTAATAAGTACCTAATAATTAATGACGATTGTCTTTTTTTTTCAATTTGTTCGTAAATACCAAATTATAAGAAAAATACTGATTCAGTGAGATTCAATTAGCCAACGTAAGCGTTATGTTTGTGAGAAGATATGATACACATAAATACATATGTAAGGTTCATAAATACATATGTAATTTAAATAAATGATTAAGAATTACTCATTTTTTTATTCACAAAACTAATATGTACCAGCCATCACTGGTAAAACCTAGCATATACTAAGTTCTAATAGGAAAAAATGTCTTTTTCAATATTTACCGTGCCCTTGAGGTAAATCCTAAGATTTACCTAGTGAATGGTTGTAAAAGTTCGAAATAAAAGAATTGTTCTAACTTTTACCATTGATAGTTAGTAAATGTTAGGTTTTACCGGAAAATGTTACCACAGTTCGGGCTTTTACAGTAACATATACAACAAAAAGCCCCCAGGTCATCCGACCATCCCGGAAGAAAAGCAAATTGAAATAATTGGTGAGATCATAGTCTATTTCCTCCATCGCGAATGTATGTGAGGTTTGTCCTTCTACTGTATGGAGACTTTTGAAACAGAGTAAGTATCACCCATACAAAATTCAAACGATTCATCAGCTAACTAAAGCTGACCCTGATCGAAGAACAGAATTCTGCGAGACTATGGCGGAAACCATTACACGGCATCCTACCTATATCCAAAATATTTGTTTTTAGTGATGAATGTACATTTTCTCTCAACGGTGATGTGCATAGACAAAATTGTCGTTATTGGAGTGACAACAATCCTCACGTCTTCCGGGAAACTCATACTCAATATCCACAAAAAATTAACGTTTGGGCTGGGATACTGGGAAATCATATTGTGGGACCTCTATTCATCGAACAAACTTTAACCGGGGAACTGTATTTGGATATGCTGGAAAATACTATTGACCCTCTAATCACCGAAATCGTCGAAGCGAGTCCTAATGAATTCGATACTGATATTGTATTCCAGCAAGATGGTGCTCCCCCACACTACTACAGACAAGTTAGGAATTATTTAGATAACAATTTCCCCGCTCGTTGGATTGGCCGTCGAGGTCATGTGGAATGGGCAGCTCGCTCGCCAGATTTGACACCTTTAGACTTTTTTTTATAGGGCTATTTGAAGCAAAAGGTTTACGAAACTGAACCTGCTTCACTAATGGATATACGGCTGAGAATAACAGACCTTTGTAGAAATATCGATGATACTATGTTTGAAACTGTTCGACGCTGTTATTGTGTCAAAAACCATTTCCAGCATCTTCTAAACTGAACTCAACGTATTTATTCGAATTATAAATTTAAATGTCAATGTGTTCAGGTAATTATTAAATGTACCACCATTTTGTAGTAGGTAAAGGTATTGGCTTTATATTCTATGGTTATAAAGTACCTACTCGTCAGGAGCTTCAAAATGATGTGCCCGTTTTCATATAATTTCTTTTCCAGTATGGCGCCCATGGCATTTTCATCTGTCAATTTTACTCTAAAATATGGTATCCACGCATCAATTTCATTACCTCAAGTTTTAATTTTTTGAATTGATCCGTTCAAAAAATCAAAGGGGGGGGACATTAAAGAAAAGCACTGTATAATACTTAGTCAGGATATCCAAAAAAGGAAAAAGAAAATCACGCTAGTGGATAGCAGTTTTATTTAACAGTAGAAATCTTTATAGGGGCCGACAAGTGAGCGAACCTCTCTGCAGCTGAACGCATGCGTTTGCTCAGCGAAATTCCATGAATTATTCGCGTCTAGATTGACTGAACGCATGCGTTCTTCACCGTGTGGCCATATGCGTGCGTTAAGTGAGTACGCGGCTTTAGCTGCGTACTTATATTGAAATTTGAGGGACCGTGAAATAAGCAAAAGCATCATAGCGGTAGGTGTACTTTGCCAGTGATGCGTGAAATCTATTTTATAATGTTTTCATTTATATGCAGGAAGGAAGCATATTATGATGTCACTATAAAATCACAGTATTTACTATCCGAAATAATTTTATGAGAAGCGATACCTACTATAGTTTCCGTAGCTGAAATTTGTACGTTAAATATAGAAAAATACGTTAATCCAAAGATCTAAATGTAAGATTTAACAGGATATGTATGACAAGCCAATAAATACATTTACAACAGTAGTTGAGCTCCAATTCTTTGGAATTTTAGGGATCCAAAATATTGGACTCCAGTATAATCTGTTTGTTGTATCCCAGGGCCACGCAGCGACAAGCGTCACAGGAAATGCGCCGAGAACTCCTCCTCTGCCCCGCGATGTGCACACATGGAATGCTCATCAACCCCTTTCACATGAACGCGGCGCTTCATCCTGTTATGGCCAGACAACATTCTCACATGCAACCTCAGGTTATTTCTGTCCAGAGATAAGGGAAAACGTTCATTCCCAGTAATAGGCCCTAAAATCAGCTCCCGTATGCGACGAAGGTGTTTACAGATACTTTACCACACCAGAGAGTATTTCATAGATAAGCTGTGCTCGCAGGCACACCTAGGACTGACTCAGGACCAACAAGCTAGCCTTCTGACGCCACTTTCGCAAGTGTGTCGGATATATCATTTGTTCTTACCCCAGCGTCACCCGGTAACCACACTAATGGTAAAAGATGCTTCGCTGCTGAACTATCCAGATACTTCCCTGCACTGTAATGCAAGGCTCGAAGTAACCTTGCAGGCACTTGGTGTCCGGATTGCAGCCTAGCTCTCGGAGTAGATTGTTGTTCTTCTTCTAGGTCCATCATACTCGAGAATACGGGATATACAGGGTGGCACACACAATTTGTCAAATTATCGCATTCCGATTCTAATTAAAATGAAAAGGGGAAGTCTAGCAATAAACTTTGATAATACCTATCTAGGTATTGATATGTTTAATGAGTTGACTAAAAAGCCATACCACATAAAATGCGCGTTTTAATATGTGTATGATGAGTGTACATATACATACTTACATCAATAGTAGCGATATTAGATACTGCTATGATATCAGCTGCCGTCATTGTGTTGCCAGCTACCCATTGGTTGTCTCCAATGAAGTTATTTAGGTGGTTGATTGCTTCTTCAAGTTTTTGCCCTTTTTCTGCATCTGGCTCTTCTCCATCTAAGATAGGACCCGCCTGAAATGAGCATCGTACATATTCAGCTGTTTAGCCATTTTGTATTCACGTATCCTAATATCTGGATATGTCATGTAAAAAATTGCTTCTAGCAGCGAGAGTTCAAACAGCAAGCAGTTTGTTGGAACTGTATTCCAGTTCGCAATTGACAGCCGGATCAGCGCTATGGCTGCTAGATGCCGTCGCTTCTGGCGGTACAGTAGATGTCTACTCGTCACAAACTAGTAGGTAATAAAGATTTCGCTAATCCAACTTTAGGCGGCAAACCATTGACAGCTGCTTCGTGCTAGTTGCTAAGCTTTTGTTTGTTGACCTACTTGAGACCAACCCTATACCAAGCTGATGAGTTGCCTAACAAACAGCTGTGCATGGTTGGTCGTCTTTGGTCACGAATGAAATCTATATTCCTATTAATAGTTTGTTCACTAGTGAGTAGACCGCATCTACTACACCGCCAGAAGCAACGGCATCTAGCGGCCACAGAGGTGACCCTGTTGTCAAATGTGGATAGGGATACCGTTCCAGTAGACATCTTGCTGTTTTCATTCTCGCAGAGGTGGATTGTGATAATAAATGGCACTTTGTACTACCATATTACATTCTGGATAGAGGACAGTAGCAAGCTTCCGTTCATTGTCCTACCTGAAACCTAGATCGTGCTGATGAGTGGAATAGCACGAAACATATGTCCATGGATAGAAGTCAGCGGTCAGACGAACGAGAGATATGTTACTAGTCCGCACTTCACACATAACGCTGTATAACAAATGCACTTAACGGATAAAGTTTGACAAATAGGTCCTTACAATTAATCCCCACTCCCCGCCCATTTGAAAAAGCGAACTAGAGCTTTCTTCTCTGCGTTACCGATCATCCGACCACGTAGGGATTATGTTTAGAACGTATAAACACCTCCAGCGGCAGCGGCCAGCTCGCTGCAGGTTTGTTTTCGTTGATTATTCTATATTCCTAAATCCTAAAGGTAAATTTACTTAGAAATACACGTGTATTACCGATATTGAAAGACTATAAATGCAGAATGTTTCAGAAAAACTTGGCAATATATCTAAGCCATAAATTAGATCAAAGGGTGATTCGAGAAGCATATGAGCACGGGCCTTAAAATACCCCCTAAAATTATATTTTCTTCGAAGTGGAATAAGATATGGACTTAAAATTTGGCCACCTAGTACTAATAGCCAATACACTCAAGTCTGAGACCACACCGGTGGCGTAGAAATAGGCCATCACAAAGGAAAAAGAACATTGTTTTGTACGCCACCGAGTTTTTTGAAACAGATATCCTATTTTTGAATAAGGTATTCAATTTTACATGAATCTCCTCTCTTGATAAACTTTTGTCATGCTTCTGCTTTTGAATATTTTAGATAAAATCCGCATAAAAAATGCCAACCTCTTCTACTTTGAAAATAAGCTGAGGTTTACTAAACTTCACTAAGTTGGACAAAATTGAAAGTAGTATCTTGAGAAAGTAATCCCAACTAATCATAGCGTTATTTCTAAAATGTTCATGATTTATACTTATTCATTATAATCGACGGTGCAAAAATTACAATCCCGTATCTTGAATCGGACATTTAAGGACCTATGTTTATAGAGGAACCTTTGTTGTTTTTTCCTACCCTGGAAATATTACTACGCTTTTCTCAAATGCAAGTGCAAACGTATTGTATACCTTCCCCACCTCCTGGAATCCCTTTCCGCATTTTTTTTAACCATAAATTACCCTTAAAAGTATTCCAAAAATGAGCAGGAGCGACTAAAACATCAAAGAAACGGAGTTTGAGTGTTTTTGTTCCTTTTCTTTTTTGCCTGTAGTTCCGCCACCACTGGACCGATCTTGATAACCGACAAAGCTTCATCACCATTGGCAGAATACTAATTTTGTGTCAAAGCCCAGTAAAGGATTTGTTGATCAAAAGTTGTCAAAAATACGTATCAAATATTAAATAATTATGATAACAATCATATAATGTTAAGTCTAGTGATCCATTCCTAAAGTACTCTATTCACTTCTATCCAGTAATGAATTAATTCTGCACATACATTCTAAACTTGTGTACAGTTGCTTTGCAACAATGAAAATCTTACCCAAACTCAAACCTCGATGTTTTCGGAATGGAAAGAGATATCGAGTTGCGGTATTCGAAAGGTTCTTGACCAACTCTTGAGAACACGTGTAGTGTTCGATCGGTATATATTTTTTATTATTCCACTTATACAGGGTGATCAAAGGAAGTTTTTCTTTAGCAATGTTTGAGGCTGTCAGATTCTCAATTTTTGGTCTTGGAAATTTTTCTATGCATCTTTTTGATTATTGAACTATCCTAAAGAAGTGATAACTCAAGTTTTTCGAAAGTTGGCTATAACTCAAATTAATTTTTAACTTACCGCTCGATCTCGTTTTTTTTTTATTACCCTTTCCACGAAAGAACGAGGTTTCTCTGGTTTCATCCTAACTACCTCCACCTTAAACATGCAATTGCCAAGTATCCATAATATTAACTATAGGCTTGACAGTATAATTTTGTTTTCTCTGTAGAATTGTACAAGATTATTAGGAGAAGGTCGCAGCTTTAATTTATAATGTTGATTGGTCCTCAATATACCGTTTAAGGCGTACATATGATACCACTGAAACGTCCTACTTGCATGGAGAAGGTAATCAAAAAAGAAAATACAACTTCGGGAGTTGGTCAGGCCGAAAGACATTTATTGCAGGACGTAAGGCGAAGGAGGACCCTTTCTTCCACAACCCTGAATGAAAACTTACGGCGGCACAGTGGAATAATAGCGTACAATCGTACTGTAAGAAGAACTTTATATTCTAATTTGTTGAGGCATGTAAATGTTATAAAAAAATGTCTAGGTACTTTTTTAAAAAAGCATTTCTTCCAGAGCAAGGCGTCGCGCCAAGAGTATGTACCTGACTCTTGAACAATCGTAGAGTCGCCAGGTACCAACGGGCACAGGAGCGGGTAAATTGGCATCAGCAGTGACAAAATTACACGTTTTCCGATGAAACACGCTTCAACATATACCACTCTGATGGTAGAGTCCTTGTTTGGAGGCAAGCTGGCGAACGATATGATGAAGAAGACATGGCTCCACAAGAGACGTTTGGTGGAGGTGGCATTACTGTTTGAGCTGGGGTTATGCATAATGGTAAAACCGACCTTTCTATTTCAAACAGGACAGGCAATGCTCCATTTTAAAGGGACAACATTTTAAACAATATTGTTGTACCTTTTGCACAAGATTTAAAGGAAGACTTTGTCGTCGCCAGGCCGCGAGCTCGTACGGCTAGAAGCTTTTTGGCAGAATATAATGTTACATTATTGCTCCCCATCAAAGTCTCTAGATCAAAACATAATTGAGCATGTGTGGTCTCGGCCAAAATTTTTACTGCGGTCAAAGCAAAATTATTCTCAAACAATGGCAGAGCTGTCTGAGGCCTTTCAGGAACATCAAAAATTGAGAATCTGACCGCCTCAAAGTTTGCTAAAGAAACATAACCTCCTTTGAACACCCTGCATGAGTGGATAAATAGAGGAAATATACCGATCGAACCCTACATTTGTTTTCAAAGAGTTGGTCAAGAAGCACCCGAATACCGCAACTCTATATCTCTTTCCGTTCCGAAAATATTGAGATTTGAATTTGGGTTAAATTTTCCATGTCCACCAGTTTAGTTCCAAGATAGATAAACACTTCATTCAAATATTAAACTTTGTCATTAAATATACAAAAAATTGGATATATATATAGAAACACCCCAAATACAAGCTATAATTCGAGTGAAAAGTACGTTTTCATACTTTTCAAAGATATGAGTACTTTGATTCAAACTTATTCTGGGATGAAATGCAACCCAGTGAAAACTATAATAGTTTTTTACAGTCACAAGTAGTCAAAAATACTCATTTGAACGCAAAGTCTGAGGAAATCCACTGCGTCTTCCCTCAGGTATACTAATCACCTCCTATTGAATAATAATCCATTCTGCATAGAAATGCTGATAATTCAAAGACAAATGCACTAAAAGATATGTTTGCTGAAGGGGTTAAAACGTACGAAAAAAATGCACCTTCACTTTTATCTAAGATATATGTGCATGTATTCAGGAAAATTATCCATCAATAATGAATATGAAAAGCTATGATCACGATGGAGTTGTTTTCAACAGCTAGAAAAGGTTTCTGGAGAAGGCGAAAATCCATAGATTTTTAACATTACGAACTACCAGCGTTTTAACTTCCTACCACACCTGCGAGGAAGTATTGTTTGCATTCAATATTCGATTTCTGTATTTCAAGAGTAGTGCAACATCTGTTAATGGTAATTTCAGTTTTTATAAGATTATATTTACATATTGTATTATTAATCGTGAATTTTCTTGACTAAAGTACTTCTGTCTGAGAAAAACATAAAAACGCATTACTTACATTTTAGTTGCCTATTTGGGATAATTCTGTATATATCAGATATTTTCCATATTCATAGTGATAACAGTATATATGACAATTGCTTCTCATTTATCTTTGAACAAATCATTATTTAATAGGGTGCGATTAGTGTACTTTAAGGAAGGCTTGCTAGATTTCCCCGAACCCTTCGGGCTTCGAATAGGTATATTTGACAATTTGAATTCCGTCCAAAGATAATTTTTTCTTGTCTATGGTCTCAGACCATCAAACGTCCAGGTACTACCCGGCGGATATCTAAGGTGGGCCGTGTATATATCCACAAATATTCGCGCATCAGAGTGCGTGTCACGTTACCCTGTTTTCCCTGCATTCCCTTACGTTCCACGGTACCTACAGGTATTTAGGACTTAGGCTTGCGTGGTCGATTAAGTGTAAAGAAATAAAATACCTTTGAAAAACGTAAAAGAGTATTTTTCACATACCTACTTTCTAGTACCTACCTGGAGTTGCTCTGCGTATATTCAATACTATATATACATATTTAATGAGTTCGGCCGATGTAGGTTATCCGAGAATTAATTATTATTTACATTCGAACGATCGGAATTTCTAAACAGAATTGATTAGGGGGTGATTAATGTACTCGTACTCTGGGATTGGCGGAATAGATTTCCCCGCGCTTTTTGGGTCTCCAATAGCTACTAGTTAGTGTACTTCGAGTTATAAACTGGGTTGCCAGAGGGGACAGAGAAATGCTTTTTAACGTTGTTCATCAACATCTGAGCATTGCTTTTCGAGTTATAGATAGGCCAAGCATTAGCAGACAGACAGGCTGAAAGACAGGCAGACAGGTCGATGGAAATGAGTTACATGGTTTGTTTATGTTGTGCATGGCCCGCAACGCTCAAATAAATAATATCTCATTCTCGAGTTACAATACTTACTCGCCATGTGGCATGGGAAGTAAAATGGAGATGAACTTTGTGTTATGAATGAATGTAGATTCTATACAATGGGTACATATGTACCTCACGTATAACGTCCACAAAATCGTTAATAATGTTGCAGCAGTAATATTGTTTTAATAAATTCCTTCATTAATATTTATTAATGGGCCCCTAGAATGACAACACTAGACTTGAGAAGCGATTATTATGTATGCTTACGCTCAAGCGTGCGTGGTGACGATTTCCGACTATTTTGCTAAGTAAAGCTTTGCATACAACATGTGTACTGATAACGATCTGCATTCTTGATACCTACCATATAGCCTACCATTCGTGGAAACATATATGCTGATATGAATAACATCCTTTGCAATGTGACTGCTGCTTTTCTTGGGTCCTTGGGGAACAGAGTATCATCCTTGGCATATGTGTCAACTAGGTACTTCATGATGACGACACTGAAACAAATTGTGTTCAAGGGCAAGTAGTTAGGATTATTTTCTAGAATTTGGTAGTGTTCTTTTCAGAGCAACATTGCTCGATCTACGATACATAATTTCTATTGATTGATTAAAAAAGACCATAGATTTGCAGCTACAAAAATATACAAATGATACACGCCTTATAATCTTAGAAATAAATCGGTACTTATTTTATTTTACCATCTCTACAAAGTATTAGGCAGAGTTTTCGCTGTGATAAGGGTATGTTTCTTCATTTACCTAAAGCGCTTGCGTAAATATACACTGAGAACTATATTCATCTGACGGCTTGAGTTCAACGTGTATGAGAGAGAAGTGCCGATATGTTACACCAATTCCTTGAATTGAGATGCATGTTGAAAATATGCGGTAGCTTATTCTCTATGCCAAAGTAATGGTTTTATTTTGAACGTACACATTTTTGAATTGTGAATTGTGTCGAATCCGCTTAGGATCGATTTCCGATCGGCCCTGCCGGCGCTTCATTTCAGGTCTAAATGAAAGGTCAGCATCGTCACAAACTCTGCAACATTGCATACTTGGTTCACTTGGCAACACCGCATCTCGTACATTCCAAGGCAATGTTTCCACCTCCATGATAATACATGAGCGAGTTTTGTCAGTACCCATCAAGCGCTCATTGTGGAGTGCCGTCCTGTTTTGAAACGGTTTTCACCGGCGTACAAGCAGGCATTGATAAATATAACTTGTATTGCGTAATGATATTTGTTACATTTGCCGACCGCTCGCTGTCGCAAAATGTAACAGAATGAGTTAATTTTATCACCATCGGAAATTCCAAAATAAGTTAAAACACTAAGTCGCATCAAATTTGAAATAAATAACTCTAATCAAAATGGAAACAAAATATTAAATTAAATGATCGAACAGACCTTTTTCTTGGGTGTGACAGTAACCTAACCTATTGTAGAAGAGTCTGCGAACATTTTCTGGTATAACATGTTGGCAACGCGGCAGATTGCACGACCTTCTGCGTCACCGTAGCTAGGCAATGTGGTGATGACTTTTGCTCTTCAGCCGGGTTCAATCTTTTTCTATCATGTGTTGATACACACTTCTCGCGGTTTTCCGTCGTACATATTGAACTCAAGCCGTCAAACAAATTTTATTTTCCCTGCATAAAGATTAGATGTCTAGATTTTATCTATTATTTTAATTCATAGTAAAAGAGACATTTCAACAGATTTGAGTTGCTTATACACCGAAGATATATGAAACACTATGAAAACTATAACCGGTCGAAATTATAGGTATTAAGTCATCATCCATTTGAAAGTTTTAATGGTTTATACGTAGGTGACACTTGCGATTTCGATAGGTAGGATGGCATGAGCAATACCAGTTTCGTAATTTTTTAACAATTCTCACCGCTTTTAGCAACCTGTCATTTTTTTCAGGTTATGGCTTTTGCCATCTACTGATAAAGTGCTTAAATGGCATCTAAAGGTGTGGTTAAATGTCATCTAAATAAAAAATGGGGTTGTGCGGAAGTAATGAATATATAGAGTATACACAAATAGATTTATTTCGTCTTCTTAATCGACATACATGTTTATAAAAATTTTTCATAATGCCAATTTCAAATAAACCCAACCCTTATTCAACTGTCCTCAATTTAATTCACTCGCGAAAACTATAATTTATGTGAGGGTTATTTTTTAAGCATAGATACTGTTCAGAAATGTCGTCGATAAAAAGACTAGTTGCTGTATTATAACAAATTCAAAAATAAAATCATTATGGAGAATAAGAATAAGAATGTGCTTTAAAGGAGCTCACCTTTCAGAGATAATAAATCCACCATCATTTAGTACTGGAATTTGGTGAAGAGGGTTGATCTAAACACAGAAGAGTATATTTTTAAGTAATGAATAAACCACTCCAAGGAGTATTTAGTAAATGATGAATAATCAGAATGAGTTTATGATATTTGGAAAATATTTTTGCTTACGTACAAAAACTCTCAGTAGGTCAGAGAATTCTAAAAAATGATTTGTGCTGTTTTTGTAATGTTTTACTATTGCGCCACTGCACCACAACTCATCTGGAAGAGAGAGGGATGGGAAGCGAGACAGTGCGCCAGAGAAACGGAAATGATTAAAATTGGTTTATGCAGCTTTTGCATAGAACGTCAATGCTGGCAGCGCGGTGAGTGCTCTGAGTGACAATGGAACGCCTGTGTAGTTGGAAGTCCTTGCTTGGTTTCATGATGGTTTCGTGGAAGCGAAAACGGACGTTCAGAGATTCTGGGAAACTGATGTCGTACGGAAGGGTCGGCAGAACCACGATTACAGTTTTTTGGTGTATTTTATCTGTTAACTGGTGTTTCTACGTTCCCCTTATTTACAAACCGATTTATTATTCAAAGCATATCAATTAGGAGAATCCTTAAAGTACTTTGGTCTATATAGTATATAATAATAATACATAGTCATCTTTATTTAGAAATAAACTGATTGGTGAAGTTGGCGTTTGTGGACACCATACATATATATATGTTCTCTTTAAAAAAGTAACTGGAAAGAAGCAAATAGTTATTACTGATAGCTACATTAACGAGAAAGTTTGAATAATATGTTGCGCTGAGGGATTCTTATAATTTTGTGTCTCAAAGGTCTATACCCTATTCGTAGTCCATTTACGTCCCGGCACAACAAAGAAGCAGCCTAAGCGTTGCAACACCTATTGGTCATTCGGCCATAAAACTACGAACAAGTGCAGGATTCGACAGGAACTCAGGCTCAGGGAATCGCCGGCACGCCGACGCCGGCAGTTGCTGTTCATATTCGGTGCATACATAGCGTGTGTTTATACGTTAGCATGTCGTCTACGGATACAGGAGATGAAACTGAGAATATTTCTCACAATGCTTTCTTCAGCCATGCTTACTCTTCAGTGATGTCTCCTCCCCGCGAAAACGGGACAAGAAGAGATATTTGAATATTCAGGCAAAAGAAATTGCACAGCATCCTGGAATGAAAATTCATGATATTGGAAGACGTGTGGCGAACAAAACCGGCTTATGTCCTAAGACAATTTTGAACATTGTTAACGAAGCTGTTGGATGCAGTTGGTTGCAATGTCACCAGATGCAAAGTCCATCAATTTTTTGAAAAGCAGGAGCTTTCCATCATCGTATTACAGGAGGTACCTACTTTCAAAAGAACCATCTTCTGTAGTGTACTCAAAGAACTTCATTTTGAGTATCAAAAACGGGACAGAAATAGTATTTTGATGGACAGCCAAGAGATTATTTTATGGAGAAGAAATTATTTAAAATCAATAAAAGAAATACCGCGACCAAGGCATAAATATTTATTACTTGAATGAAACCTGAATAAATGCAGAGTATACAAAACCTAAAGTATGGGTTGACTCTACAATTAAATCAGCAAGACAAGCCTTCTTAGACGGACTAACCACTGGCCTAAAGAATCCGTCAGGTATCCAACCAAGTCGTCATTTGTGTTGTAAAAATGGTGTCATGTAGACTGAATCTATGAGCCCACGCTGAAAACTTAGCTACACTAAACATAGCTATATCTGGTAGATTTGGAACCAACACCTGTAACTCTGCCTGTATATACTTTCTTGAATATTATATAAAATAATTATTTCCAGGAAAAGGGAAACGATTTGTTATCTGTCACATTGGCAGTGAAGACGACTCTGTGCCCACTGCCCAAGGGGCATTTGAGTCAAAGGAAACGACGGACTACCATGAAGAAATGGACTGGAGTTCATTTAAACGATGGTTTGAAGAAACGCTCCCAAAGCAGAACTTATCCATCTAGTCAGGCAGCACAAATATAAATATAATCTTAATATTATTGACGAAATGGCTAAAAACCAAAAAAAGACCGTTTTAAGGCTACCCCCTTATCACTGCGAATTAAATCCCATTGAAATGATTTAGGCAAGCATAAAAAACTATGTGGCTTCAAACAATAGAGCATTCAAATTTTGTGACTTGAAAAATTTGTCTTATGAAACTGTCAACAGAGTGACGGCAAACCATTGGAAAGATTGCATAAGTCACGTTCAAGAGACAATCGAAACAAAGATGTGAAATTTGGATAATATGATCGATATGCAAATTGAACCTGTAATAATTAACATTAACCATTCGGACGATGATTCAAGTACTTCCAGCGAATAAACATCTGTGAAAAAAGTATGCGCACTTCTTTTTATAAAAATAAGAATTTATTTTTTTGGATTATTCCAAGACCATTGAGAAAAATAGGGACATTTACAATCCCGGTTTTGGGCATGTTGTGTTTTGTCTGAGCGTGAATGGACTACGAATGAGGTATAGTGTGACCACAAAAATCAACGATACTACAGTAATTTAGGATACTCTCGCATAGTTTTTGCGAAGCCTTATGTGTTCAAGAAATCTCATATTTGTGCCAAAAACTACTTTTGCTGAATCAGCGAAATTACAAACTTGACTACATAGGTATAGACATTTTTAAGTAAGTTATATAGTGTTTTCCTTTTTTTCATTACAACACCACAAAATTTTGGATATTTTTCAATTTATTTTTAAGTAGTGATTAGAACAATATTAAATAATTTAGACGGTTTCGTAATATTTTTGATACTAGCACTTTTTGCCTCATTTGGATTAAAACTTTGTAATAATTGAGTATCATCTTCAAAAAATCGAATAAGGAAACTATTAGCATTTTTGTTTGAATCAAAAATATATACGAAAAATAGTATGGGCCTTAATATAGAACCTTGAGGCACATGAGAACGTATCAGCGATATTAAGGAAATTGTTTGATCCAAGGGTTGCTTTTCGTAAATATAACGTTCAAAAAAGATAGTGCTAACTTATCAAGTTCAATATAATTAAGTTTCATAAATACTGTCAATAGCCTTCGAGTAGTCAATACATACCTCATTACCACTTTTGCATCTAAGGCCCATAAAATACTATCCAACAAACTTAGAGAACAGGTTGTTCCCATAATTGTTTCTAGAACCAGACTAGCCACCACATATTATATTGTGTTTTTCAAGATATGTGAAAATTTGTACAGATACTCTTCTCTCACACATTCAACAGAATGGCTGATAGGTCTGTGGTCACTTAGCTTGGACGGATTGGCTTTTCTAGGGTCAGCTACAACCACTGCTCTTATCCACTATGTAGGAAAATAGCCCGTTTCCAAGCACGTGTTCAAACTGTGTATGATGTGATAACGGGTAAACACAGTTGGAGATATAGTATGCCATTAATCGCTTCCGCATCCGATGTTAGGCTACGACTTCTAGCACATCTTTAGGCTTGACAGTATTTAATGAAAAGTATATTTAGAATTGAGCTTGTTTTTCCAGTAGAATTGGTATGCTCGAGGATCTATAAGTTGTGAGCTCGACTGACGTATCATTAACTTTGGTTTGTTACGAAAACTACATCAAAGTGTCTAAGGCATTTCCATAACTTTTTTGAATCGTTTTCATCAAGAAAGTTATGGAAGCTATTATTATGAGTCTAATCATTGTAAGAATGCGATTTCTCAGATACCCGAATTCTGACAATTTTCAGTTGTAGTCCTCGACTTAAGTGAAGCAGAAACTTTATTTATTCTTTGATGATAGCACATGAAATATACTACATAGTCCAGGTCAAGGGGTTTACAATAATTGTAATTGTATACGTATTGATATTCATGTAATGTATGCATTAATAATAATTATGATAATTCACTTATTTAATTGTTAAATAGTTACAGACTAAAAAAATTTGAAAGTATGCTTCGGATGCAGTAGTTTTGAGCCATTTGGGGCGGCGGTTAATAATGTCCGCAAAGTCATGATGGTTTCCAACCTTCGGTACAAGGTAGAGGACAAAGAAGATGGGTCAGTATAAGCAGTCGGACAGACCGACTGACAGACATAATTGTTATATGCTTTTTCGTGGTGTTCATGTCATATGACATCCAAAATGCATAATATCTTGTTTTCGAAGTTTTCTTTCTACGATTTCAGTACTTCCTCGCCAAATGATAAGGAACTGCTTACCTTCAGAAACTCCGGTTTCATTTGTTCCCCTTCTGGTATGTTGACAATTTTGATGTTGGGATTCAGCCCTAAAACCTTCATAGTCATCAGAGCTGCTCTAGATGGTGGACTCAACGGAAAGTAGTATAGGTCCATGGCGTTGTTGCCCAATGTCCCGGAAATGCTTGACATATAAAAACATAACGTTATTAAATGAAAAATTATCATGACGAGCTAATGAACGTGTAGTTGTATATGGTATGCACAACTGCATCAATACGAACTGGAGAAGTGTTTGAATACAAGGCCTTGACATTGGCTTTTATACACAATGGAGATGCATCCGCTGTTCTTTCATCTTTCCACAACGATAACTAATCATTATTTGATAATTTAATGGAATTAGTAAAATGAACATTTTATTTGGGATCATTATGTAAATATACTGCCCGCACCTACACAGTTTTTCCTACAAATAACTCAATCGAAATGGTTCACTCAACAGCGATTAAATACATTTTTTTATAAAAACGGCGATGTTAAATGCACAGGGTCAGGTAAGACTGGCCTGTATGATTTTATATTTCAGCCAATAAATGAGAAACCGCTAGTATGTTTTTCATAATCTACAGAAGGGGACGCGTATTGCAGAGCTATGTCAATACATAGTAAGAGGCCAAAAGCAAATTTGCTGGCTGCGATACATATTTTCGGGATCATGAATACGTCAAAGAAAAGAAGTACTGTGTTCGCAAAGAATTAGCTGTAACATCTTTTTAGCAGTTCTCATGGCGGTTTAACGCTAAAGCATGACACTTCGTGTGTCAAAGATTTCTGTCTATAGGCCAGTTTGTTTGCATGTGAGCATGTTTGTAGGTTCTTCGCCATCACGTAACTTCAGCGACAACTCAATAAATTCCAACATTATGGGACTTATGACAGGTCGTAAGTATACCAAAATATTCGCCTTTCCTTCCTTTTCAAGATCGCGATCACTTTTGGACGTAGGTAGTTAGAAATGTTTGCACTATCTTGATCATTTTGAGGCTTTGTGAAGGAACTCTGAGCTCATAAATGTTTTGAATTGGTTAACTCCAGCTTGATTCAATTTTTGTGAGCTATTCATTTTTTTTGCTTCAAATATGACTAAACTCAGGCATGGATTGTTCGATATAAAATAATGTGTAATTTGAATCTGTATTAATATGTGGATAGTAGAGAGCTCATTTACCTGACTAACTTTTTTCTGATTAGGGCCTTGTAAGCCGAATAACGCTTTTTTAAATTCGATCTTTCAATAACATTTATTACCTCCTTCAACAATCTAGAACACATAGTGAATATTTGTATCAGTCCATAATAGTTACTCATGTGGATGGCCGTAGGAAAATGCTTTATTCTACGTAATATCAACAGGTTTTGCAGCATACGCCAAATAATAACACTTCAAACTTCAATAACTGATATACCTAAGCCTTACACATGGATCCCTATATCCACTGGTGGAAACTGTATGAGAATCCGTTACGTAGTTTTTAAGTTTGTCGCGTTCAGACAACTGAAGTGTGGAACTTTACAATATGTATTGCTTTTCTTTGCACTAGGCGCGGGCGGGATTGAAATATTTGATCATTTTAAGTCTTCATTAAGTCTTATCTTAGAATTACCGGAGCTAGAAGTGTTTAAATATATTAGCACCCAAAAATTAAAATCTACCCCCCTCCGCCGCCACAACTCCTAACTTTCACTTTATTATCCCTTCAAATTTTTTCTGATAAGGGTCGTGAGACCCTGAAACGTCAAAGAACAAAAGTTTGTAAAGATTTTATTTTTTTCGTTTTTCACTCGCAGTTCGACCCAACTAGTTCTATTTTAAAAATCCTAGCAGTTCTTTCCAAGTTGTAGACGGGCCAAAGATTAGTGGACAGACCGACAGATACACGGAAATGACAGAAAATGGTTTTGACAACATTGTCACATTTGCGAGCTTAAACGTTTTTACGAGTTTGTTGGAAAGAGAAAGTTATTTTAATAAATAGGTTGACCCAGGACGGTTCAAAGAGGAAGCAGTACCACTGATAATGGGGAAGGAGCCAATCGGCGGCGAATCCCGTTCAAAAACTGAAAGCGTGGGCCCATTGACGCAAATCGGAGCAGACAACCAACGAGAAATTGATGATGATTATAGACGACCAGCCGAGGCAAATCCGAGAACTCCTGGAGACAATCAAGGACCAGACGGCTAAAATTGACAGCCTGACCGTCCAGGTAACTCTTTTAGTAAGTTCGAAAGAATCCCCCAAAGAACGGACCAACAGCCTAAAGAGACCACTACGGACTATTACCGACGATCAATATACATCCACAGACGATGACACACAGACCGACGGATTTATAAACGCAAAATCTAGAAGAAGGAGAAGCAACAAGACTGACGGACGAGCCGAGGACTTTCCACCTCTTCCAAATACACCTACGCCTACGCACCTCCTCCACTTCATCAAAACAAAATATCAGTAACACTATGTCTACTACCAAACCTTTGTCATCGGCTGGCGGAGAGACTAAACTATCTACCTCTCAGGTCACTCCGTCGGCCAATGTCACTTCTGCTCAGCCATCTCGCTCAGCCGACGTGGCATCAAGCCAACCTTCACGCCAAAGGCGCGTAACGCCTATTGTTCTGCGTAATGAGGCGAGGTGACGTACGTTAAATTACAAATTCATTTCCCTAGGCATTAAAATAGATCGCGCGTTTGCTGTTGATGCGGGAATAAGGATTATTCCTAAATCTGAGGAAGACTGTCGTAAGATCGTTCGACTGTTCCGAGAGGAAGAAGTGCCCCATCACACTGTTCCTCTCCCTTCGGAACGGAACATCCACGCGGTGGTTCGAGGAGTTCCCGTCAACTTTTTGGACTTTGAGATTAAGGAAGAACTTGAACAGAGGGGATATAGCCCTCTCCATATTATTCGACTGAGGCGCAGTGGCTGCGCGCCCATGCCTTTGATGGTCGTCATACTGCCCAAGAGCGAAAAGTCCCAGCAAGTTTTCAATGAACACAAACTGCTCGGACTGGCCATTCGAGTTGAGGTTCAGAAGAACTCCAGACTCATTGGGCAGTGTCACCGCTGCCAAAAGTACGGGCATGCGCAGTCATACTGCACTTCACCACCCAAATGCCTAAAATGTGCAAAGAACCACATGATGCATTTGTGCCCCTCACAGGACAGGAAGAGCGCCGATGTGCATACTATGGAGAAGGAAGGCCATCTCGCAAACAACCCAACTTGCAAGTTCACGCCAATGAGGGATTTGCAAGATATAGCACAAAGGCGCAACCTGTCATACGCAGCTAGGGAAGCAAACTTGTCTGCCCCCTCTGCTCAACCTCCCTTGAACGAGCAAAATGTGGACCTGGCAACCGCGCTAAGGTCCTTACAAAAAATAATAATTCCACTGATTAGCGCTACTCAAGCTTTGCAGGATATCTTTCCTGTAAATGGCTAGGTACAATAGTACATAGCCTGTATTTCTCAAAATTCTTTTTTGGAATTGTTTGGGCCTAAGGGCAACCCCAAAAAATGGAAACTCCATCAAGCTCTTTTGGATGACGGTATAGATGTAGCCTCGCTGCAGGAAACGTTGCTTAATCCGGGAGATCGTCTAGCGATCCCGAGGTGGCGGTTTCTGTGGTGGTCAATATGGCGGGAGGTGTCCCGTTGAAGATCACATCGGTGTCTGTCAGGTGTGGTGCCAGGCTACAAGAGGCGGATCTGGAAGTCCTTATGGACTATTCGGGTCCACTTATTGTGGCAGGAGACTTCAACTGCAAACATCGAGCATGGAATTCCAGGTTGAATTCCACGAGTGGGATTCGACTGTACAACCATGCGATACGAAATGGGTACCTTGTACATAGTACTTAAGAGCCGACACACCACCCATTCAACCATCTTCAGGTACCAGATGTCATTGACTTCGCGATATCTAAAAACTGTAGATACAGAATCTCTTCTCGAGTCTTGTATGATATCTCTAGTGATCATCTACCTGTTGTCTTGGAGGTGGGAATGAGCAGACTTCTGAGGAGGAAGCTTCTCCAAGGAAACGCATTGATTGGGAGCTATACAAGTTGTTCATTCGAGAGGTTCCCAATATCCCGATCATAGATGATGCGACTGGAATAGATGCCGCTAAAGGGGAGTGGACATGTTTCATTTAAACAGCTCTACAGCTGTGCTTCCTGTACAACGACACGGCAGACCTTTTTTGCCTGCGGACATTCGTCAGAAAATCTCTGACAAGAGAGCCGCTATTAAGCAGTCAAAAAGATCTTGCCATCCTGATGACATTCATAGAGCTACGAAGCTTGTCCATGAAGTGAGAAACGCGCTCCATGAATTGCGTAATGAGCAATGGAGCGACTTTCTGCCGGGAATGCTTGATTCAAGTATTCCTTTCTGGAGGATCGCAAAGCCACTCAAAAACGGAAAGCGAGAACAATTCCCGCACATCCAAGGTCCTGAAGGCATAGAAATGATATGGCTAATGTGAACTGAAGAGACGATCCATAAATGCATTTTCTAAATTAAGTTTTTTTAAATTCTGTTATATATAATATGTGCCATCGTCCATTAACTTCGGAAATAGTGTAACATATACTCCATCAACTCCGCGTTGCTTCAACATATTCTGAATCCCGAAACGCCTTTTCTGTTTTCTTTTCAAACGTTCTTCCTAGTCCAACATAGCAGCGGCAAGAATTAAATTTTCTTCAGACTATATATATTTCACAACGTTTTGAGCTACGTATAAGTTGCATATACGAAAATACTGAATATGGAAATGCAACTAAGGTATACTGTGTATACAATTAAATTGTATGGAACTGATGAAACTGATATGGAATAGAAACGGAATGTATAGTGAGAATCAACCTTTAAGTGGAATATTTGTCGTTGACGATTTTTAAAGTACAGTTTTTACTAGAGTTTCAGTTTTGGCACCTACTTTTCAATAAGTGACATTGTAAGGGTTTACAAACAATAATTTTCAACTACAATTTTAAAAAATGTAAATGATACCTAAAATTACACAGTAAATGCCATATGCCTTTAATATTTTTTAAATAGAGAACAAAACAAGCCTCCTATTTTTGAAATTTTACAATATAAGAACATGAGACTTGTGCACATGAATCGGAAATCCTTCAAAAAGTTAAGAACGAGAGAGGGAATGAGTTTGATTTCAATTAGCTCATGATTCTTAGGTACGTCCTCAGAACAATTCATGTTTATAAAAATCCAATTTTTGTTTCGACCAGAGACTGAATTCATAAAAAACTTTTCACTATGTAAACGTTATGTTATTTATCGATATAAATCATTTCCTGCGTTTACCTGCTTATGAAATAGCATTTCATGTCTCATTACTAATACCTACAAAACATGGTGGCTATTCCTAATTAGCATCGGTACGGCGTCACAGTATTGTACTAATTCGCTAAACTATCACTGATACAAATTAAGGAAAATCCGTAATTAACCTTCTCATCTGTGCATATTTTACCAGTCTGACAATTAGTGATACACACTGAAAACCATTAGTAGGTGAGTCGGGCGAAAACTTCGAAAAAACAAAACGAGGTATACTGCTTTGCAGAAAAAAATAATATGGTAAATCATCTTTCGAATATATACTTGATTTTGACCAAAAAAAGCCAGATAGTTGAGGAAAGTTTTATCCTGTTTAACCTTCAAAAAACTTTTCCTATGGATGCCCATACAGTCAAGTAGGTTGATTCAGTACTTGCCACACATTTACGTTTCTCATAGCGAATCGCGATACAATTATTGTACTTTAACTATAAGGGAGAGTAATTGTCACATATAAGCCTCATTTTAAGTGGATAAGCATGCGAACGTCGCCCACCCGCGTATTGCTTGCCTTGTACACATAAAAAGGGAACTCTATTTTTATTGCGCATTTTCCAAAGGATATGTCAAATGGCATAGGTACGAATTTTTCGAAAATATCATCTGATGCGTGAAAATATGATCTCGTACAAAACGTCCAAAAGTGAAGCTAGAAATATATTACCTAACATAAATGAACTTCTGAAATTCTAAATTTCTGGTAATCAATGAAAAATGATTCGGGATTCTAGAGACACTGTTTAGGTACTTTTTTTATTTTATTGCTAATTCCTCAACTTCTACAACACCAGCTAAATGAGTGGTTGAAATCATTATTTGGATATCGAAGAAAAAAACATAAATTATTATTGGAATTTGAGACCGTAGACGCACGAAGTAAAAAAAATCAAAGGACAAATCCAATAGTGTTATTTGTATGCCCAAACCCATAATATACCTTCCAAGTGCTATGAGGCTGGGACGTTGCTAGAAAATCTACGGAATATAGCAAAATCGTTTTTTTAAAATTTGAGTACTTGGTGAAAATGTGTCATAAGACATATATATATACGTATATATATATATATATATATATATATATACCTACAAGAGTATGGGCCGTGCCAATTTTCATTAGTGAAAATAAAAAATCATTTTTTCATTTTTCCATGTATTATAGATGTTTTGTTGTTAACGGAATGCAGCACGGCACTCTCATGTTACCCTAAAATACCTACGAGAAAATTTTGTTATACATATATCAGACAAAAAATGGTCAAGTACCTATAAAAAAGCGGCAAAAATGAAGCAATTTTGTATATTTTGATTTTCATCAGGTTTATATTCCCTTTTTTTTGGCTGCAAATGAAGTATCCTATTTCGGAGCACTTCTCATGTTCACCGAAGACGTGAGATGGAACATTCCGTAGGTGGCTGCAGACAGAGATTTTCAACTTTTTCTGGAGATTTTGCTTTCCTTGTATTCATTCGACTACTTTGCGGAGCTTCGGCTCTACTGACATATTTGTTGACGAACTTCGCTTCCTCCCTAAAAACGTATCGAACCTGAATGTAACAGAGAATTACAGGGTGTCTATTACAGTGGAGTGTAGTAGCACATGAGCATGTGCACCCCCAAAATAAATAATAAAAAATATGTACGAGTATAACATCCATTTAATAATTTCTCAAATAAAGTCCGATCTAAGGTCCGATCTAGTAGCTCTCCACTGGAGAGTGACCACTCTTACCGCTGCGCTGCCTGATTCGGGCGATTCGGACTGGCCCGGTCCGACTACCGCCGACGGGTGACGGCGGATGACGACGAATAGTCGCATATGCGATCATGTACCCGGGATTAGTGTGTTTCTTTCCCTGCTGTTCTGGTTGCGGGGTATAGCGGGGTTATCGCAATTTTAGCTGGAGAAGGCGCACACTTCTGGAGTGCGCCGTTGTCCGTTGCGCGTGCATTTTATACAGTAATTGGAGGTGTGTTCGAATTTTTATGTTCGTAGCAGTATTTTAATAAGATATTGAGTTAAAATGAATGGTTTCACTATGGAATATTTGAAACATAACTTCAGTTCCTTGAGTTTGGAGCAAAAAATTGAAATAAAAAAATGCGGGAAGACCTACACCAGAAATTGACTTAACTCAGACCACAAAGGGTAAATCTAGAGACTTTATTAGAAAGTTTAAAATGGAAATACATGAAAAGAATAACTGAATTTGTGGATGCAGCACAACAAACCGTTTGTTTTGTTTTTCCTGTTTGTTGTTTGGTCGCGGGGTTGCAGAGCCTGCCTGGACAAAAAATGGAAGCGACTTGGGACATTTAGCACAAAAAATTAAGAAACATGAAAATACTCAAGTCCATATCAATGCGCAACTGGAAATGCAGCTTTTGGGAAAAGTAGATATACGGCAGCAGTTGGACAGTGCAGTATTCCACAGCAAAATGAACAAGTTAGAAAGAATAGGTATGTGCTTTCAAAAATTATTGATTGCATAAAATTTTGCGGAGCTTTTGAATTAGCCCTCCGCGGTCACGACGAAAAAGATGGTTCATCAAATCCTGGTGTTTTTAGAGGTTTAATAAATTTCACTGCCGAATCAGATATAGCACTTAAAGATCATTTTGAAAAATCTACAGTATTCAAAGGGGTATCAAAAATCATTCAAAACGAATTGTTAGATTGCATGTTACAAGTGGCTCAGGAAAATATAGGAAAAGAAATTTTGGAAGCTGAATTTGTTGCTGTTATGGCTGCCGAAACAACGGATGTATCAAATGACTACAGTATTTAGGTACATTCTACCAGATGGAAGGCCAGTTGAACGTTTTTGGAATTTTGTTACCCCCCCCTGACCACGATGCAGTTAGTCTCTCAGAATGTGTGGAAACTAATTTAATACAAGTGCTAGATAAACCAGAGAAACTGATAGCTCAAAGTTATGAAGGCGCTAGTGTAATGAGTGGACGTCATGGAGGTGTTCAAGCTCTTTTTCAGCGTGATTATGTTTATGCTTATTTCGTTCATTGTTATGTCCACCAGCTAAATTTGATTTTATCCCAAGCTACAAGCAAAAATCAAGAAGTTCGGGTATTTTTTTTAAATTTAAGCGATATTTCAACGTTTTTTTCTCATTCTCCACAACGAGTTGCAGTTTTGGATGAAATTGTTACAAGATGGAATTTTAAAAGCAGATCTATAAATACAGTATATGAATATCGCGAATTATTAATAGAATGCATGGAAAAAATAGAAGCTACTTCAATCAAGCCACTGGTATTGGCCGTATGCTACAAGGTTTTAAGTTTGTGTTCTGGCTAACTGTATTTCATCGAATATTGCCACATGCTGATATTTTATATAATCAGTTACAAAAAACAGTGACTGACCCAGTGCAAATTCAGACTGCCATAAAGTGTTTTGAAAACTGCATCCAAAAAGAGAGAGACTGCTTGGAAACGATTCAAACTGAAATTTCTGAAGATACCACTACTAGTCAAACTAAAAAGCGTCGTGCAAATAAAGACCAGCATATTTGCAGAACTGTTGCAGCCAAGGAAGTTTGTGATACCATAATTAGACACGTAACAGATAGATTTTCTTTCAGAAAACATTTAAATGCAGCTATTCTTTTTTCTTCTGATAAATTTCCACAATTTTAGAAGGATTTTCCATTGCACTATTTGGAAACTGTAGTAGAAGCATATTTGTTTTTAGATAAAGTTCGTCTCCAGACTGAATTGTAATTAATTTACCGGCGGCCTGATTTCAGAAATATGAGTGGTGCCATTAGTTAGTTACAGTTTTTTATAGAAAATAATCTTCTGAGCATATTTTCTGCCACCTTTACACTTTTACAAATAATTGTTACCATACCAATGACTACGGCCGAAAGTGAAAGATGCTTTTCGACATTGAAGAGAATAAAAACATTTTTGCGAAGTTCTATGAATGAAGAAAAACTGTCAGTCCTAGCAATGCTATCTATCGAGAAAAAATGTATAGCGGGCATTCCAAACTTTAACGAGACTGTTATTGATAAATTTTCTGCAAATAAAAACAGGAGAATGGACTTTAGGTTTAAACATTGTACTCATTAAAAAAATTGTATATTTTATAAATGTATTTTCTTGTGTATAATAAAAAAAATAACAAAAAATGTGTCCTTGATGCTTGTTTCACTACTCTTATTGTCTTCTACGTCACGCATAAGAAAAACATGGTGGTGGTGGCAAAAAAAATATTTCATACCACTTGTGAACCCCCTGTATCATAGACCACGAGCCGCCGCTGGTCTATTAAATACCAGAACACCCCGAATAATTGGTAACTACGCATTTTTTGGAAAAAGGGTTCTAGGAAGTTTCTATAGCAGCTATGAACTGGTTTACTTTCTTGATGTTGAGATTTTTTGCATAAGAAGTAGTATTTCTTTTTTTATACCTAAATAAAGATTTTTTTGTTCTTGCACCGACGATACATCGCTGCAACAAAATTAATATACAAAATGCTTTAATATTATAAATCAATCAACTCATCGCTCCGAAAAGAGCATCATAATTCGTGGTATAGTAATAATAATAGTATTTATTGGTCCAACTACAAAATTTTCATATAAATTATAATGGTAGTGTCCAATAAACATAAGGTACCCAAAAAAGTGGACACTTGTGCTTGGGTTTTAACCGAACTTGGATTATATGAATACAACACATTTGCTATAAATATACTAGTTAAATGTATGAATTTGTACGAATTTATTATCAAATAAACTATTGATTTTCTACAGACATGGATTTGTAGTATTGGTTTATTTAGCATCCATAATTTAAATTTAAAGTAAAATGATCTTTGACTGATAGATAGTTTTATTTCGCCTGGGGATAAATGCAGATGTTTCTTTGAATCGTGTTTGATGGTTGTGGCCGATAAAATGTACCAGTTTTGAATTTTTTGTTAAATACTCGTATATTATTGTATGATAAAAATATATTTGCTGGCAGTCGAAAAGCTGAAATTCACTGTAAAGATTTACTGCGGAATAAGACCGCTCCAAGCACCATCTGCTACTACCGTCACTAGCGGGACTTCTTTCTAGTCAACGTCACAATTCGCTCTTGCTAAATCGGCTTCTTCCCTCCAAGTAGCGTCGAACACAGTCCACAGCGCCTTGTATATTTGTTCAGCTACATTGACATGATGTTTCAAATAGATAGTTGGACTCATAAATAGAACCTTCAAAATTGCGGTCGAGAATGCTACGCTATTAGATATTGCTGCCAATGGCAACGCATCGTTGATATTTGTGACAACGATTCAATCTTCTACCAAACCACTAGTTTTCTCCATATCGCACAATCGACAAACAAATGTGGCCTTAGACAATGCTCATTGGTGGGTTACACATCCGCAAACGAGCAATCCAAACGCGGGTGTTTGGAAATATCTGCGATTTGTTTGAAGAGAAATCCTATATCAACCACTCGCCTTCCAAGTAGTGAGAAAACCTCGATGGAATCAAGCTCACTGAAGCTAAAAAATACATAATTATTATTATAATAGCTTTTTACTGAGTAGCAGATTGATGTACCTTGTGTAATTTGTTTCTCGAGCTACGCTGCTTTCTCTTATGAGCATTGCTGTTTCGAGATCGGTTCCACAATTTCGTCAGATATTATCATAGCTTGTTTGGTCCTTCAACAACAATAATAATAATTAATAATAGTAAAATAAAATAACACTGATGATAACAATAGTGACTGACTCTTTTGCGATGAAATGTTGATTTGGCAGTGTGACTTTGCTAATATGTGAACATACCTGAACCAACAATTTTTTGGGCAAATTGTGAGGCTATTTAATGATTTTACCGAAAACCCCAATATTCCAAGATCCACGGATACGAGGTATGATCATTTTTTCTTTTCATTCTGATTTGCTTGAAAACGGGCATAAATATCGCTATAACATGTTTATTTTGTCCAAATAACAATGCAAAATAAATGTGGGTCCCTGGAAGAGTTATAATATTTGTAATATTATTAAGAATATATTATTAAGAAGATAAATAATTTTACTTTGATAGGATTTAAAACGATTATAAACCCTTACTAGTATCATAAACCTTCACCAATAATGCCCTAAATATTGTCATAGATCTAAAAGGTACTTAATCCAGGTATCCAGGTTATAGTTTTGCTGTTACTACTTATATTAATCTCATCAGGTGAAGAACCCAACCATTTTCCCTTATTGTTGAATAGATGATAAGCTACAAAACTTTCCTAAGTATAGATAGACTCATAAAAGCGACGAATTTTTAATCGAACTTTGAATTTTTTATTCACCCCCCAATTTTACGACTGCGGAGGGTTATAAGTCTTTTTTGAGGAAATTTGAACCAAATACTTATTTGCTTTGAGTAACCATGCACTCTACATTTATTTTGTGTTATTATACACATATGAACATAAAAAAATCTTATCTCATTAACAGAACATTTGCCTTTTTTGGAAAAAAGATCGATAAATAGCCTCTAAAATTACCCACAAGAATTTCGATTCCCCGAATAGAAACTCCCATTTCTACATTTGAATTAAAAGCATTTCCCGCCATCCTGATTGAATTCGCAAATTATAACATAAACAAAAAAGTTAAAAGCACAGCCCACCTTCCTGTGCAACCTGTATAGAATTTGGCACCCTTATCCTCTTGATCAAATATATTTCTGTAACAAAATTTCAAAATTCAATTCACCAACGACAATTGTAGCAAGTAAACTAAACTCAAAAATTATCTAACTTGTCTGGCTTTGAAATAATTAATATTTTTTTGCATAGCAGGTCACCCCATCTCGCATCTAATAATGTAATAATCATCAAGACGACAGCGTGATAAGATATACAATAAAGATGATAAAGTCTAACTTTCTACAATCTACATGAACCTCTAAACAAGTCTAATTTACGAACAACTTCCGACCAAATACAGGTAGCTTCATATTTACCAAGCCAGCTAAAAATAATACAATTACAATATATTTACCTTTCATGTCCTTTCTTGTGCTTCCTGCTCCTTTTTGTACTAGGATATACCCGGGTCTCCTTAATAGTTATTTTTCTCATTATGCCTTGTAACACACTTTAATCTCACTAAAAGCAGTCACTTACGCGTGCTCATTTTGAATTAGGTCGATACCTGCCGATCATCCCGTTTATATCACCAAAGGTACACGGCTGGCTCGAGTTTAGGCTGGTAGCCGCTAGGGGGCGCTAGTTTCCACGGGTTAAGAAAATGCATTTCGTAGTTTCTCAGTTGTTTTTGATCGTAGAACTTGACAATTTTCATCTGATTATTGAGCTGAAAACTGTATCAAAATCAGTCAACAATGAAGCGAGATGTCCTGGAACTACATTTGCGGCAAGGTAGAAAGTAGGTACTCTTAACGAGTAGATACATATTTTTCACGTGAATAGAAATTATAAGAAAATATACAAAATTGCTTAATTTTTGACTTTTGTAGCAAAAACTTAACATGTCGGCGTAGGTATTCCATAGGTATTTTAGGGTAGAAGAAAATAAAGTGGCATTCCGTTAGCAACAAAAAATATATGCCGAATAAAAAAGATAATGAGCGACAAAAATTCTTGTAGTTTTTTTGGAACGCTATTACCAAATATTATGTCCCCTTGCAGTTTCCCTCGGAATATCATTTATTCTATTAATGCATGTTAATGATTGAAATACACGTCGATAATCCCCCATGCTGGTATGGGCAATAAAACCACATGTACTGACAGTTGACAGGTGACTGTACACGGTTCAATCACAAAGGTGATAGTGGAAAGAAAAAACGTATGAACTGTCCCATGGAAGACAGATAAATCAAATCTATTATCATTTTACTGAAGAACATCACGATTATAATCAATACGTTTACAGTAAAGAAATCAATACATCTTGGTTGGTTCAATTGGCCATATATGCAGGGCGGATTATTTATTCCGTCAGATTGCTTGAATTTACGCTATAGATCTGTTCTGCTCGGTGATGGTGGTAGGAAATTCACAAAAATAATTTACTGTTTATTTGTCAGTTTACGATATACTCGCACATCCACCACAGAAAGAGGTCCTGTTAAGTTTATTGTGAATGAATTCGTGTAGAGTGCTTATAAACGCGAAATTTGCATTTTCTTCTGAATAATTAATTATTTATTTCCAAATTTTAGATCAGTGATGTTACATGTGGATGGTGATGGGAACGTAAAAGAAGCTGAACTGCTTTACCTGATAAATTGCTACATAAACTACGTCACAGACTTCTTAGAGTACCTAAGTAGATTCTCAAGGGTAATTTATTTATCGTGAATCCGACACGATAGGGCAAATGACGCGTATAAAAAGAGGGTCTTTATATTCTTTCAAAGACTTCATCCCTTCCTTCGTCTAATACGACATATTAGCTAAAATTCTGGAATTTTTGCATGTACAAAAGCTCATATCCTACCTGTTATTAAGGGGAATGACCCCTTCACTCTCCATGCAATTCCCCAGGGCGCGGGCGATTGCAGATATGTGTAGGTGGCTATGGAACAGCTGAACACGATTCAGTCGTTAAACGGGGGAAACTTGTTTTCCCCATATACCGTGACTACCCTTTCATTATTTACTATCAGTTACGCGTAACAGCCACGTTTGTTGGTCACTATGGCAACCGGCATGGAAACAGTTGCTGCAAATTCAGTCTGATAAAGCATTCATGGCAAATGAGATATACTAGTAGACCGGAATTAGCGAAAAATGACCGTGTCCCTAATATTATAGATGTGTATGTTTGTATCCTCCGTTTTCGCGTCAAAACGGCTGAATCGGTTTTGATGTACTTTAGCGTAAACACAGACTTTGGAAGACGGACATCCTTTTGTTGTGAAAATAAAACTTCAAGGGGTTGAAAAATGGAAAAACTTTTATTCTTCAAGTTAGGGATATAGGGATACATACGAGTATACCTATATATGGGCTTTCTATATTTGGTTCTTTGATATAATTTGAATGAGCACGTACAAAAGAATTTGGGAAATTCTATCCTTAAAGTAGATGTTTATACCTATGAAGCTGAAGAATGTTTCAAATTATGCCAGGCCGCAAATGGGAATATGATGTGTAAGGGGCGAATCAGTTGTACGTTCTATTGCAGTTGTAAGAGAATCCCTATGGCACGACTAATTGAAGCAGTAATTGAAATAAGCAGAAGTTCCCTCGAAAGATTTATATGCATATCATCTATGTTTAAACGAAGGTCCTCGCTCTCAGGTTTTCGCAGGTCGCAAAGAGCTTAGCAATATAACCTATAAGTAAAATGAGTTAAAACAATACTTTTTCTTGATGAAGTTGTTTTCAGCCATCAGGCAAGTTTTAGCAGCACAGGTGTGATCAACAATCATATGAGGTCTGTAAATTAAGTAATGAGACTGATTTTTAAAATATTTTTATTCAAATTTAATTATGATTTTATATTGTCACCCTCAAAATTTCTCCCTTCTGAAGCCACAAAGCGCTGGCAATGGTTCTTCTACTCCTCATAGCAGTGTTGGAAGTCCATCCAACAAAAATTGTCGGTCAAATGGAAACAAATTTGAATAACTTGGAAAATGTTATAATTCTTTTTTATATGCTCGTGTTAAACGCCATAGGATCAAGAAATTGTTTTCGAATAATTCTCAGTATCTTTATGATTTTATGACAGTTTTTTTCAAATTCGGTATGTCAAGTGTTTACGAAATAAAGTGCTTCAAAGCTAACTCATCGTAATCCATTGTGTGGATGCAAACGAAAAAGGACTACGCGCAAGATATATAATAATAATAGTCCTAGTTATTCAGAAACAGACGAATTGATTAGGTCAAGTTTGGCATTCGCTTCCCTTACACTTAACCAATCAGTTAACGATTGGTGACAGAATAAAGAAATTTATGCTTTAATTACAGACAACAGACAAGAACAAGATCAGAAAACGCGTAAACCGAGAATTGCAATGCATCATGCATATTACATAATACATATTATGTATATTTAATTTCCTTGCGGAATGTTGACAAAGAATGTGTCTTACACCAGCGTTTCTCATCCTTAAACCATTCGCGACCCAATATTCAATAATTATTTTCACCGCGCCTCCCAGCCCCTCACACAATAGCAATGAGTGTATACAATAATAATGTACCTTGAGTATTTTGATGCTAAGCTTACAGTACAACCTTAATTACAAATCCTACAACTTACAATGCCTCTCTTCGCGAGAAGTCAATTCTGGTCAGTCTCATTTGAGTCAGTCGTTCTGTCTGTGCTAAATCTATTGTGAATGCGTATGTTGTAATTTGGATGTTAATTGCAGTTCACGCTATTGAAATATATTTATGTAGGTGTATATATTCCCAGCAGTAAATTTAAATGTATACCAAATCATGGATACATTTTTAAGGGGGCGTAAGCGAGCATTCGATACTAGTTAAGCATCAACAAGTGCACAGGCGAGAGAGGTTCCAAAAATAAAATCAAGAAAATATTCTCAAGCATACTTAAATTTTGGGCTTACCTCTGTGTATCATTTGCTCAAAAACTTTAGCAGCAGATAGTATGAAACCTAATAAACTTAAACGACATTTGGAAACGCTTCATAGTCAGTACGTTAACAAAACCCGAGAATTCTTCGAGTTAAAATTAAAATCATACTAAAAGTAAAAATTATTAAAAAAAAAACTTTATGAATGAAGAAGTTTCACTAGCCTCTTATAAAGTTTCATATGAAATAATCAGATGTAAGAAGCCTCACACTATTGGTGAAGAGCTTATTTTGCCAGCTACAATGAAAATTGTAGAAACTATGTTAATAGTTAAGATAAGTTTGCGTTGGAGTCCATACCTTTATCAAATGATACGGTTGTCCGTCGAATTGGTGATATAGGTGAAGATGTACAGCATCAGCTACTCGGGAAGTTACGAGACAAGTTGTTTTCAATTGAGCTTGATCAGGCAACGGGCAGCAATAAAGATGCTCATCTTATTGCCTACGTTAGACTTTGTGATGGCATATCAGTAGTAGAATAAATACTTTTCTGCAAACCTATAGAACTCAAAGCAACAGCTCTCGTTTTGTTTGCTATCTTGAATGATTATAAATAATCGAGGCAAACATAGAGTGGAAGAATTGCGTCGGAATATGCACCGATGGCTCTTGTTCAATTTCAAGAAGATTTGAAAGTATTCAAGCCCTTGTAAAACAAAGATCTGCACTGTGCATATGGACACATTGCATGATCCACAGAGAAGCTCTGGCTTCCAAAGGAATGTCTCCTGGCCTGAATATTGTGCAAACTACGGTTGTAACAGTAGTTAATTACATAAAAATGATCCCTTTGAAAACCAGAATCTTTTCTGAACTATGTAAAGATATGGGTGGAGTACATTCAGCATTACTATTCTATTGCAAGGCAAGATGGTTGTCACGCCGGGAACGTTTACAACGAGTTTTTGAATTAAGAAATGAAATCGCCGTTTTTTCTAGAAGAAGAAGACCGAGCCGAAGTTGTTAATGTTTCGAGATAGTTTATTTCTGATGAAATTGAGCTACTTGGTCGACATATTCGAGAAACCAAATATCTTGAACTTTCAGCTCCAAGGAGCAAATACACATATATTGGATACGAGTGATAAGGTTAAGGCTTTTTATAGGAAATTGGAATTGTGGAGCAGAAGTTTAAAGCAAAAAAAAACATGGAGATGTTTGCAAATGTGGATGAATGTATTAAAACTTACGACGAACAACACACGAAAGTTTTTATAACCATTGAAAATCATTTAGCGAAGCTGACAAAGAGCAAGACGCCGAAATCAAGAAACAGTTTAATAATAAATTCCTCTTTGAATTTTGAGCAGGCGTGAACGATGAGTTTTCGGCACTGAAACCCAGAACGTTTCGTGTACTACTACCATTTTCAACATCTTACCCTTGCGAAACAGGATTTTCGGCAGTGTCTGCTTTGAAGACCAAATATACATCGCAGCTAAGTATAGAAAAAGAACTCAGAGTGTCTATTTCAAATATTAAACCTTGCTTCGACAAGCTTTGCTCGCCAAGCAGGCCCAAGTGAGTAACTAGTGGTTATTATTATTTTTAACAACTAATATTTTTCAACTTATTTTCAATTTAGTATTGATAAATACAGTCCTGTTTATGA